ATCCATCCATCCATCCATCCATCCATCCATCCATCCATCCATCCATCCATCCATCCATCCACTCACCCATCCATCTATCCAATCTACCTATCATCTACCGATCTATCTATCTATCCATCCAACTACCCATCCATCCATCCAACCTATCATCTATCCATCCATCCATTCTACCTATCATCTACCGATCTATCTATCCATCCAACCACCCATCCATCCACATAACCCTTCCATCCATCCATCGACCCAATCCGTCCGTCCGACCATCCATCCATCCATCCATCCATCCATCCATCCATCCATCCATCCATCCATCCATCCATCCATCCAATCCATACACCATCTACCCCTCCCTTATTGAAATCTATTTCTCTAATTTTTTTCACCCCGTCTTCTCCTTCTGGAAACCTAGGCCAATCTGGAGAAGATGTGTCGGACGTTTGAAGACCAAATGAATGAGCACCGGGCCAAGTCCGAAGAGTCTCAGCGCATGGTCCACGACCTCACTTCGCAGCGAGCCAAGCTCCAGACCGAGAATGGTAAGCAATGGGAGAACTCTACACGCTTATCCTTAAGAACTCCCGATCATTCTCTGGGTCTTCTTCTCCCAAAACTGTCCACGTTGACCAACAAATTATCTTTCTTGGAAGTACTAAGCCTGAGGAATAATCTGTCTGAATACAGATAATTCTCAATTTACAACCCGTTGTTCAACAACCATCAAAGTTCTGACAGTCCTTCCTGGTGGAGACCAACAACCTGGGTTTGAAGTTCTAATGGTCAACCCCTTCCCCTGTGGTCACATAGTTTCATGGACCTTCAACAACGATGGTCCATTTGCAGTCATTTTCACCATCTCATAATGCTATGACCATGTTTTATGACAATTTTCTCCTAAACTCGGTAATTCCTTTCAAATTTTGGCAGAACCATCCTTTTACCAAACCATTGATTCACTTTGATGTTCACTTAATGCCCCGGATTCACTTAACAACCAGTCTTTCTCTTAACCATCACTGCAAAAGAAAATTAAAATAAAATCAAGTCAGTGATGTGACCTCCCGGTTTTGCCACCATGATAGATGATAGATTACAGATGATCAGAATTGGACGGGATCTTGTAGGTCATCTAGTCCAACCTTCCGCCCAAGCAGGGGACCTTACACCATTTCTGACAGATGGCAGTCCAGTCTCTTCTTGAAAGCCTCCAGTGATGAAGCTCCCACAACTTCTGGGCAACTTTTGTTCCATGGGTTGATTGTTCTCACGATCAGAAAATTTCTCCTTATTTCCAGGTTGAATCTCTCCTTGGTCAGTTTCCATCCATCATTCCTTGTCTTGGCCTTCAGGTGCCTTGGAAGATAGCTTGACCCCCTCCTCTTTGGGGCAGCCCCTCAAATATTGGAAAAGTGTCCTCATGTCTCCCCTGGTCCTTCTCTTCACTAGACTAGCCAGGCCCTGTTCCTGCAACTGATCATTGTATGTTTGAGCCCCCAGTCCCCTCATCATCCTGGTTCCTCTTCTCTGCACTCTTTCTAGAGTCTCAACCTCTTGTGTGGTGACCAGTGATATGCAGGTTCCATTATGGTCCTAACATGAGGACTACCAATTGTAGCCAATTGTCTACCGCTAACCGAGTCTCCTGGGGAGACCTTCGACCTCCATTCTCCCTCGCCTATTTTTTTTTAAATTCCAGGCGAATTGTCCCGCCAGTTGGATGAAAAAGAAGCTTTGATCAGCCAGTTGACCCGAGGAAAGTTGACCTACACTCAACAGCTAGAAGATCTGAAGAGACAACTTGAGGAAGAAGCAAAGGCAGGAGACACGTGGAAGGCTGAGGGTCACCAGGGAGACACTGAGAGAGATGGAGCTAACTAGGCCACAAACGAGACACTGAGAATGCATCTCTGTTCTTCTCCACCTCTAGGCCAAGAATGCTTTGGCCCATGCGCTCCAGTCCGCACGCCACGACTGTGACCTTCTGAGGGAACAGTACGAAGAAGAAACGGAGGCCAAAGCTGAGCTCCAGCGTTCGCTTTCCAAGGCCAACTCGGAGGTGGCTCAGTGGAGGACCAAGTATGAAACTGATGCCATCCAGAGAACGGAAGAACTGGAGGAGGCCAAGTGAGTGGCTCCCTCATCTTCATCCATGTCCCCAGAGACATCCATCACCTGAGGGGTCTTCTTCTCATCCTGATTTTCCTCCTAGTCCCTCACCAACTTATTGCATCCCTCTACCGCCCCATCCAAGATGGCTTCCTTCCACTCCATCCTGACTTCCTCCCACTCCACCTCCTAGTCCATCTCCAACTCAATGTGTCCCTCTACCCACATCCAAGATGGCTTCCTTCCACGCCACCTCCTAGTCCCTCTCCAACTTATTGCATCCCTTTACTGCCCCATCCAAGATGGCTTCCTTCCACTCCACCTCCTCGTCCCTCTCCAATTCATTGTGTCCCTCTACCACCCCATCCAAGATGGCTTCCTTCCACTCCATCCCGACTTCCTCCCACTCCATCTCCTCATCCCTCTCCAACTCATTGTGTCCCTCTACCACCCCATCCAAGATGGCTTCCTTCCACTCCATCCCGACTTCCTCCCACTCCACCTCCTCGTCCCTCTCCAACTCAATGTGTCCCTCTACCACCCCATCCAAGACGGCTTCCTTCCACTCCATCCCGACTTCCTCCCACTCCACCTCCTCGTCCCTCTCCAACTCATTGTGACCCTCCACCCCCCCATCCAAGATGGCTTCCTTCCACTCCATCCCGACTTCCTCCCACTCCACCTCCTCGTCCCTCTCCAACTCAATGTGTCCCTCTACCACC